ATAAGTAGGAAGTTTGAATAACATTGCCTATACTTAATACATATTATTGAACTTAAATTTCTGTTAAACATATTTTCAACAATTTTGAATTGAATATGAAATTATGAAATCATTAAATCTATTTTTTAAATTCACTTTACTATTAAAAACACCTATAAAAATTACCTAAAAGAAACAGCATTCAAAAGGTACATACTTGTTAACAAAGAGTTGAAGAAAGTCAGAAGCTGCTTAGACCTCTGTTAGAGGTCTTCTGATGAGCAAACCTAGCTTGGAGAGCAGCAGCCTCTCCAGCAGGTGCAGGGAAAATATTTCCCTTATTCAATTTATTTGACTGGTTCAGTCCAATAACGAGTTTGTTCAGAACAGAGAAACTATTTGGCAGACAACTGCTAATTTGCTTCTCACCAGTAAAGAAAGGTGCGAGACCCCTGTGGAGAAGACAGGCACCCACCCGGCTGAGGTTCCCTGCGGGAGGCCACATACCTTGGTGGATCCATGCTGCACACACGGGGCTGCTGTGCCATGGGTGGGGGCTCCTGGCCGGCGTGGAGGACTTCTTGCAGCCCTCCCTCACATCAGCACTTGAGGCTGGCTGAGTCCTGGGCTCCCGGACCCCGAGGCCATGAGGAGATGCTATAGCGAGCCCTCCCAGAGCCAGCCAGCTGAAGAGGACCAACCCATGCTGGCACGTTTCCCCAAAGCCAGCCGGCACCGGGGGGTGGAGGCTGCTTTCTGGCTTCCCCGAGCCTGGAGCACAGTTAATAATATGCCAGCTGTAGCTGCAGACAAGCCAAGTTTAATGAGGCTACAACAAAAGCATTCAAATATGCACTACAGAACTTCTGTGGGGATTTTTTCTAGAGCTAGTTTAAAAAAAAAAAGAAAGATAGGAATTCTTGACAATGTTTGTACACACACTTCTGTTATTTTTAATTGATTATTAAAAAACCCAACATTTATATTCTACAAATTCAAAGAAACCAACTTTTTTAATCCCACTACTTCCAACAGCAAAATGATGATGTGTGATGAGTGCTTGAAATGCACTGCTGGTTGCTTTTTTCTTAATAAACATTGAAGTCTTAATTGTTTTTCTCCTACCCAGCCAGACACCACCTCTCTGTCTGCCAGGTCTCTACACCAGGACAAGTACAATCCCTCACCTCCTGCTCAGGAAACAGGACAGACATGCGAACACAACCACATCTGGAGCACCAGTGGTGCAGGAGATACCTCACCCACTCACTGCCTCTCCAGCCATGCTTCCCCAGTCAAGACACAGCAGGTATCCGTAAGGGGACTGCAAATACGGATTTGGAGACAGCAGAGGGGGCAGCAAAATAGGTCTGCTCAAGCATGAGTGGGTGAAGAAGGGGGAAAAGGAGCAATGGCTCACTGTTTCCTCCACTGGAAGAATCAGAGGGTATCAAATGAAAGTGGGTGACAAAGCTGAAGGGAACAAAAGGGGACGCTTTTCCCCAGTGCATGTTTGAACAGAGTTCTCACAATGGGAAGTGCTAAATGCACACCTTGCTTCAACAAGAAACTTCAAAACGGAAATTCATGGAAGAAGTCTATGGGACAAATTTAAATAAAAAGCACCAAGAAGTGCCCAGGTGAGTTTGCTGACAGCCAGGAGAATATCCAGGGGAACCAGCGGTACAGGATCATCAGACTGGCTCAGTATGGCCATCCTGATACAAAGACTACTTACCCAATGGTCTGCTAACAGATGGGGGAAGAAGTCATGGAGAAAAGCAAACCTTCACTGCACCTCTCCCTCACTGCTCACATCTGCAGTCTGAAGATCTTTGATGGCTCTGAAACCGTCAAGGCTGTTGACATGACCAACGCGGTTTTGTCCCTCACCAAGCCACAGGAAGGCAATGGGTGCCCTTCAGCAGCGCCCCAGCCACAAGCAATCTACTCTCCTGTCTGTCGGAGCAGGGCAAACCCAGCACGTCCTCCACCGAGCTCCTGAGAGCATTATAAAGGCCACTTTATAACAAGCATGCATTTCTTGCAGTCTCCAAGCTATCCTCACTGCATTTCTGAATAGAGTTTCACATATTGGGCTTTGTCTATAAACCCCCTGAACCACAGGCACGGCTGCTCTCACAGCACCCGCCGGGCTCCAGCCCTGGAGGGAGCCTTTCTCCTGCAACCCCTCCCTCCTCCTCAAAAAATATTTATTTACTACAATGCCAAGAAACAACCCTGCCCTACACAGACTCTCTTTGCTGTAACCTGACCATAGATTATCCTTTGCAAACAGAAATCCCAAGCAACGGGGAGAAGAGGAGGTGGAGCCTGGGCACCATCAGTGCCCCAGAAGGGCTGGGGAGCCCTGGGGTGCTGCAGTGGGAGCTGGACGTGCTCCAGTTCCTCAACCAGGCCCTGCCACAGGTGCTCTCACTCAGGCCTTGCTTCACAGCATTTGGGGTGCTTTGGTCTTTGTTTGCCTCCCCATTTCTGATGTAGCATCATATCAGGAGGTGAGAGCGGCTTTTCAGACAGCCGCCTGCCAAACCGTTAAAGACATCGGAAGGCCACGTGTTTTCTTTAAGAGGCCTCATTTAAAACATGCACCCACTTTCTCTTCTATCCATTTTCATGTATACCAGTGCCTACTTTGCAGACTACTTTTTGAACTAGATAAAAGTAGATAAAAGAACTCAATTAAAGTAGCAAGAATTAAACAGTCCCTTGCCAATACAAGCATGATAACGTGTCATCCTCAGCCCCGCACTGGGCCACGTTTAAAAGTGACAGGGAAAACGTTCTTCCTGTGTGAAAAACATGCTGCTTGAGGAAGGACATCATCACTGCTAAGAAATGTTTATCTGGCCTCAGAGCCCACAGCCAGGCCGGCCGCAGCGACCACTGGCTACATGGAGGCTGAGAAAGGGGTAGAGAGAGCTCGCTACCTCCCTTCTTACGAGGGCTTTTGGTTACGCGCAACCAAACCGCTAGCGGCTGTGCTGGCAGCACTCCTATCTGCACGCACAGCGCCTGGCGCTGCCTCCCTCGCCACCATCCCCAGAGGGACCCGGCACAAAGGTGGCAGTGGCGATTTGCGGGGGGCGGCGCCTGGCGCCCTGGCACGCTCTTATCGGCGAGCACACCGCCTGGCTCCTCGCGCCTGCTCCCGCACCACTGGGGATCTGCCGTGGGCTCACCGCCGTGCCCCTGCCGCGAGAGACCCCCCCATGAGGCCGCACAGCAAATCCTGAGCTGGGTGTTTATGGCAAGCAAGCACTGTTTTAAATTCACACATCCCGTCCCCCCCTGCAAACTCTCACGGGCACTGGCAGATTCTGCGCCTGCAGAATCCAAGAGGCAGTCAGAGAAACCAAGGCCGAGGCTCAGCCCCCACTGATGCCTCCAGTGCTGCAGGGCTGAGGATGGCGTGGAGCAGCCAGGGGTCTCACCTACCTTCGCCGTCCGGATGACCTTCCCATCTGCTGGGTCAGCAGCGCTGTCAGAGAGCACAACACTTTGCACAACTGTCACACGCACATGCAACACATGAAACGCTGCACTGACAGCACCTTCGCAGGCAGCCCCTGTGCACGCCAAGCACCCTGCGTGGGTGCAGGGCCAGCGCTGGCGCTCGGCACGCCAGGCAGCACCATGGCTCCTGCTGGCCCATGGCAAGTGGGAGCTCAGGAAACGCATGGCACAGGATGCACTGTGAATCCACCGCATTGCACAGGTTACCGCATGGCTTGTCATTAAATTTGTGCCTGTGTGTCTGTTTGACTTCAGATCCAAATTCAGATAGGGAAATGTGCTTTATGCTGTACATGAGAAATACGTATTTCACTGAGCACTTGCTTGGAAAGCCAGGCAGCCCAGCACCTCAGCACCACGCTAATCTTCTGGTATGTGTCGGCAGCAGTCCTGGAAAGAGCCTCCTCGCAGGCTGGGTGGGAACCTCCGGGTAAACTCAACCATCACCTGTATTACAGCAGTCGGGGGGGGCAGACCCCCGACCACCCAAACGTACCCTCGCAATAATCTGGGATTTTGGATCGCCGATGGGCACAAACGCTGACTGCAGGGAGACACGTGCCGTGCCTGGGCACCACGGGCCCCCGGGAGCCCCGCAGCCTCTGCACCGGGAGAGGGGACGCCTGGGACGAGGACGGGAGCCTGCGCTCAGAGCCCTCCAAGTGATTGACAATAAAAACACTGCCCCGGTGCCCATTTCCGGATCGAGACAGCGAGAACTGAGGACTCCAGGGAAAATCCATGTTTTTACAGTTTGTGATATTACTGAGCTTTTCTGGTGCCAATTTTAAAAAACGGCTACGACCTCTGGAAAGAAGCAAAACTGCATTTCAGCACGACAACATAGAAAAGAACAAAAAAAGGAAACTTGTTATTTTTTTTTTAGCTTGAAACACTAGTCAGGTTAAGAGAAAGGAGCAGAATTCTGGCAAGGACAAGAGCACTCAGACTGAGCCACAACACAGTAATTAGGGCCAGTAGGTCATTAGAGACACAGCTGTATAAACTAGGTGTATAATTAAGTTTCCACACTGCTTTTTCACAACTGCATTTCAGTTTCTTTTGTGGAAGAAAATCAGCAATTCGTTAATTTAAAGATGCAACAACAGCAGCAGCAAAAAGACAGAAAATCTCTGACTTGCCAATCAGGTGCAAGCAAAGAATAGAATTTGGGGGAGGACTAATTTTGGAAATGCGTGTAAGAAGTCTCTCTTTGTCAGTGGCAAGTACAAAGTGCCATCTGACAAAAATATTCGGGAGACATCGTCACTTGTTGACAAGCTGCCGTTTTTTGGATAAGCATCCCGCATATACGCTTGCAAGGCCATTATAATTCTTGTAGCAGGTGAAATACAAGAAAATGCAAAATTATACACTAGCATGAAACAGTTACAATACCTCATTTCAAACGTAAGCCTCATGTACAAGTTACAGGGCATTTAAAAGGAGCAACTGCAAGACTTTAATTATAAACTAGTTCCTACCGTACAGTAGTTTAGAAAAATCAGCTGCTTCCAAGCTGGCAATATCCATATATAGCTCTGCTGCTGTTTGAAACAGACAACCTGTAAAGTTATCAACAACAGAAGAGGACCTCATGAAATGCTCAGAGACCCCACCAAAACCTACTTCTGTCCGCTTCATTGATGCTCTAATTTGCTTTAAAATATTCTACCTTCACTTGAGAAACTGAAGGAAAAAAAGCTTACATGAAGCCCTTCTGACCCCTGGGAGGAAAGGGGGGACATGGGTTGAGGAAGCAAAAATAACACCATAAAATGCTGCAGCTAAACCCAGACTAACGCAGGTGCATTAAAACACATGAGCAAAATGGCCAAACTCATGGCTTTTTAACCACTTTTCTCCAGACAGCCACCACCTCGGCACCAGCGAGCAGACAGTGATGCACCGCAGAACAGCGACAGCTGCCTGATGTATGCAGCCTCTGGTGCTGGCTGGAGGATGCAGTAATTTGTAAGTCCACATTAAATTCTTTACTCTTGTCTCTAATGCTGTAAGGTAGCATCGTGCTACAACACCCACACTGTAGCAGCAGTCCACAGAAAAAAGTATAAAAAAGACTGCACGTGACACCGATAGCAATTACTGAGTCTGCTCCAGTTCAGGGAAGATGGGATACCAGTCAGTTTTAAATTAATTTTAAAAGCTTAACAGATCCAGTGTATACACTAGGTGTTTTTATTTATTCTTGGCGTATTTTTCAAGATGCTGGCTGGTTGTTTAAGGCACTATTTGCTGGACTGCTGCAGGAGAGCTCATTTGTGGGGGCAAGCTGGGAGACAAGGGAAGACAGGAGCCGACAAGGAACTGGGATGTTCTTTCAGTACAAGTTGCCCCCATTTAGACCCTTTTCAGCTCCCCGTAGACACTGGAAACCTACAGCCCACAATCACAGACATCAGTCATGAGATAAAGGTATAAAAGGCACCTAATTCTGTCAGAAGGAGAACATCTCTACTACACTGACATCAAAAGAAATGCCACACGCTTATGCTACCAGAGACGTCTAGATTTCAGCGGTGTTTTGTCCTCAAAGAAACAAGTCTGAAATACATGAAAAAGCACGGGGGGGAATGGCTGTTTGTTACCTCCTTACACGTCAAAGCAGCTGCGTTCAAGCTGTATTATAACTTCAGTGCGCCATAATGAATTTCTAAGGGATTCCAGTGAAATAGATGGTTTTTCCTATTCTTTGGAGTGATCTCCTGTAATCCTGCAACATTCCTGAGCTACAATACCTTCCTAACTTCAGCGTCCCAAAGGAAGTCATTAGTTATGTTGTATTATCAGCCTGGTGATATTATCACTACAAATATTACCTGTATTGATCTGGAGCCATGTAGACACGACTGAAACTCCTGCTTCAGATTAAGACATGAAACCCTCGCTTGCCAAGAGGTCAGGCACTGCATTACAACCTCAGGTGTGTCAGGCAGGCATTGCAGGCAACAGGGGGGCAGGGGAACTAAGGACATAGCCAAAAGGCTTATTTTGGGGGGTCAAGTCCTTAAATTTACCACACTTCCTAATGTGGCCTTAGATTTTCACCTGGGTGGTGCAAGTCTTTTCAGATGAATTGAACGAAGACGTGCATTTTGCATGCGTTCAACAAAAGTCCTGAGGGCTATCAAACAAACAGATGGATCCGAAAGGGTTTGTTTTTCCTCAAGGTGAGACATGTAAATATCAAGGAATATCCCAGCTTGTCTTCATGGAAACATTCTCATTCCAGAATATATGAGTGCAATCTTCCTATTTACTTTAAATCACTTCAGGACACTAGACTAAACTAAACAGAAAACAGACACTCTTGTTCTGGAACAAGGATATCCTCAAATGGAGATAATTAACAGCTATTTCATGCATATGCAGATAGTTGTATGGTGCCTTTTTATGACAAAATGTCTCTATAAATCATCAATGCATGTGAAGACAATAAAAGAAGATGAAATTATGCTACCTGCAATCAAAAAATAGCAATGGGAATACTAACAAATTATTTTGATAAGTCCCAAAAACATATAATTTATTTTTCTCAGTCCCACTAACAGAGTATTATGTTGAGTATATACAAAAACTGAGGTGTGAAAACACTGACTGTATTGATAAGAATAGAATCTCTAGGTTGCTACATTTTAATGTCTATTTGACTCAGGAAAAAAATGGCTCCTTTTCATAGCACTGTTGGTCACCTCACCAGCCATACCTTATGTTCCTCCAGTGCAGCCACTACCAGCAGCGCCCGCTCCTCTCTGCCCTGCTCCGCTCCCCCAGTTGTGCCATTACAGCTGCTGGAGGGACCCCACAGTGAACCAGACCCAAGCAGACACCCGGGCTAAAAGCAGCCTTTCTTTTGGTGGGGATCACCCCAGCACCAGGAGCGGCTGTGCCAGCACAACTGAGGCAGCAGAGGCTGCACAGGGACAGCTGCCGGAGCAATGCCCTGTGGGGGCACGGCCACCCGCCTGCTCTGGGGGTGGTCCTGCCTGTCTTGCTCCCCATGCAGGGTGGTGAAGGGAGCGTCTCAGAATTACCAAATCATTTGGTTGGAAAAGACCTTTAAGATCATCAAGTCCAACTATAACCTGTCCACCACTAAACCATGTCCTTAAGCACGTCATCTCCCTGTTTCTTTAAACAACTCCAGGGATGGTGACTCCACTACTGCCCTGGGCAGCCTCTTCCAGTGCTTGACAATCCCTTCAGTGAAGAAATTTTTCCTCATATCCAATCTAACCCTCTCCTGGCACAGCTTGAGGCCATTTCCTCTCATCCCATCGCTTGTTACCTGGGAGAAGAGACCAACCCCCATCTCGCTACCCCCTCCTTTCAGGGAGCTGTACAGGTTGATAAGGTATCCCCTCAGCCTCCTCTTGCCCCTGCAACTGCTTCTTTGGAAAGGATCAATGTCCCCAAGGCTGCACCCCTTGTCTTCCCGTTTGGAAAACAAGGACTTTTCCATTCAATGGCATTTTCTTGCTTACTGCCCTGCAGTAGAGCATGAATGCCATTTGCAGAAGTCTCAGGCCAATGCCATGGTTGCCAGCTGGCCAAGAAATTGCCCTGCAAGACGTAGCCTTTCAATTTTATGCAAGTTTGCAACATCTTTAGGGCTTAAAGGAGAGCACAGAGGAGAGAACCCTGGGGGCAGCCACAGGATTGCGATCTCCATCCCCCTTATGCATCATTTTACTTATGCTCAAAAAGAAGAGCAGAAAACATGGCCTAATGACCAAACAAATTAAGTGGCCAGGGAGGAATATACGCTCAGGGGAAAGAGGATGGGACACAGCTGCACCCAAGGAGAAACCAACCCTCCTGCCCCTTGCCAGCCCTCGTTGATCCATCTGCCGTAACAGCAACTGCCTAAAAATATTTTAGGCGAGTGCAGAGGAAAAAGCGAAGGGAAGCGAAGGATGAGAGTCTCTGATTTAAATACACATGAACATATCCCGTGTTCCCCTTCCTAAGATTTTATTTAATCTTTAGTAAAATCTGCAAAGCTTTTTACTACCCCCCATAAATCGGCTTAGCGTGCTCTGCAGAATACCTGCTGCTACCGCCAGCCACACAACGGCAGCCGTGTAAAAGCGAGATATGTTGGGATTGTTCGCACCAATGCTCTGAGCTTGTTCTTACTTTACAGAAAGTAAAATCAAGATCAGCGTAGGCTGATGCTGTCCTCGCTTCCATAAAATTCAAGAGGCAATGCAATAATAACCTAGGGAGAACAGTGTATTTTTAGGGTGGGATTATGAAATTCACACTATGCATTTTAATCTCAGGAATCGGCATGTTCTTTTATGGGGTTCAGAGGCCTTTCTTCCAGGGAGTTTTGCACACTTCAGTCTTTTAACTTTTTTAATCTTCCTACATTTGGAGACAGAGGGGAAAAATACCCTGCCTGAAACTTTTAGCATTAAAAAAACCCCACAACATTTTTGTCTAACGTAATTACTGACAGATTCCAATTGGAAAGCTGTTGCTTTTATTTTAATTTTATTAAAGAAGTGAACAAAGGCTACCCAAGGCACCACAATAAAATTACATTAACTGTAAAATTACATTATTAATTCTTTAATCTCACTTGAGGCCTCAAGCTGTTGCTATGTCCAATTACCCAGCTAACCACCTGTCAGAACTGCAAAGCTAGTTTAACATTACCTCCAGGACAGTTGTGTGCCCTGTGTTCAGTCAGGTCTGCCAGTGAATCGAAGTCCTGCTGACAGTTATCGCAGGTGTAAATTGACTCATCCTCCATGTCTTCATCTTCCTCATTTCTCTCTTCCTGGCTCGTCACACTGTTCCTCTCTTCCAGGGCCCGGCTGTCCTTCGCTTCACTCTCCAGCTCTCCTCCCAGGCCACCTGCCAACGGCAAGAACATCCTCTAAGTTTGAGAGGTCTGAAAAATAAGAGCTTTAAGAAGGATGTTGCACTTATTAAGATACATTTAATTACAGCCGCTCTCACATTATTCCCGACACCTTTCATTATATTAATGTGGTTTTTATATCATGCGGTGCAACAATTCTCAACTGTATTCTCTGCTGCTTAGTGCGAATCCTGCAAACACTCTCTCCTAATCTTCTCTGGTGGGTGTATAGCAGGAGTCTCTAACTCTCTGTCATATAAAGTTGTTAGTGTTTTATCACTTAACCAGATTCGCAAAGCTTTAAAAATTGGCAAGATTAATTACAGCCCATGAAGAAAAGACATGCACTGAATTTTAATTCTCAGTGCTCTCCTCTTCCCACCGCCTCCAAGACCCAATATTAGTAACAAGAAGACAAAATACGCTCTAGCTGAAGCCCCTCAACCACACATATTTCCCAGAGGTCTCACTGGACTAAGAAGAGGTGCTTTGCTGGACAGGTGAGCCTTGGGTTGTGCCAATCCAGCCAGGAGCCAACAGCGTTGCATCTGACCTTCATTCAGCTCTCTGGGATATTTTTTATCTTCATCTGTGACCAGCACATGGGCTAGCACAGACATCTTTGCCAAAAAACCCTCAAGTTTTCATGTGCCTTAGTGTAGGGGGAGACTGAGCTCTCTGGCAGCTCCAGAAATGCCCCAGTGCAGGGGGGCCGTGCACCCAGGGCCATGCCAGACCCTTTGGCCACCATGACCCCTTGGCCATGGTGGACACCCAGACATGCCTGCCGTGCCCGATGGCTCCATGCAGCGCTGTGCAGCTCACTGGGGCTCTCCGGAGAGGCAGCGGAGGTGAAAAAGCCCTTTCAAGTCCCTGCTGCACTCTTGGCAGGGAAGTTGTCCATGAGACCCTTTGGCCACACTGACCAGGCTGTGGTGACCACTAGAAACAGAGATGCTTGCCGTGCGCGTCCCACCAGCATGGGCAATGCAGCTGCGGGTGCTGCACCTGCAACACTCCACCTGCCCCTGCCAGCGCTCGCATGCTCTGAGGACACCCTGGCGTGGCAGGAACATCCCAGGAGCCATCCCGCAGCATGAGGTGGCACGGCAGGCTCTGCCAGCAGAGGAGATCCCGCACTGCGCACCCTGAAGGCCTGGAGCCCCTCTCAGCCGGGCAGAAGGGAGATGCCACCTTGGCGGTTTGGGTCTCAAGCCACTACGGAAACACCAGCGAACAGAGAGATTAATTGTTTCTAAAATTAGATCAGCACTAAAAAGATTAAGGACAACCAATGCTGAGAACATGAAACAAAGCTGAAAAATAAAATTTATTAAAGACGAAAACTGGTTACCACAAGCCCCGCAATTCAGACACACACATGAGTAGGCTCTGTTACCACTACCCAGCCAGAGCACATCTTGTACCACCTCCTGCACTGCGCATGGTAACATAAATCACCCAGTGTAAAACGCTCTGCAGTTTTCCATGGAGCCCTCGTAACATGACGCACCCTTCCAATTGCAACGGAAATATTAAAAATCAATGCCTGCTTGTGGTGTATCACAGCATCCCTCTTAGCAATTAACTGATGTGCACATTTTCAGGTTCTTTTACTGTTAAATTATACATACCTTTCTACTACAAAATTTCCATTAAGGGCTAGATATAATGTTCATCTTAACAAATCATATATGCCACTTACACAGCGGTAATGAATTTAAGGATATGGCTATAAAAAGTATCACTCGCTAAGCTCTCTGTATTGTAAGTCATCATCTGCACTATGTTTATTCAATAAAACGCTCCTCACCGAACCTCATGCTTTATAGACTCTTCCTTACATAAAAATGTATTGTAATGAAAAAACCCACAGGATTCTGGTTCTCTTTATACTACTACTTCACTAAATAGTAAGTTACATTTAAAGCTATGCTAGCTTTGCTTTACTTCACACATAATTTAGTGTACATACTCAAACTATCATTTCCATTTTGAGGACAAAATTTACTTGGCACATCTTTGCACAGTCTCATCACAGCCGGCATCACAAACATTTTAGCTCATTCAATCTTTTCAAAGCCTGTAAGTCCTGCAGACTCGATAGCCAGTAAATCAGAATGTCAGCTCTCTGGTTTTATAAGACAGAAACCAATAAAAATAGGCCAAGTACATAAATCTAACCTAAAGAACTGCCACCCACTTCCATGCCACCTGCCAACGAAGACCTCGGAGAACTGACTTTTGCACAACCTGATGAAGCAGGGTTTTAGGCAACTCTGGGGAGCTTTAAGGGACCTTCTCTAATATTTTTAGCAGAAATCTTTGGGTTTTGACAGTTAACCTGAAGACCAGCTGATCTGGTGAGTACACTGTGACAAATTCATCCTTGGTTTTACTCCAACATTTCGTGACTACACCAGGGATAAAGCTGCTCGACCGAGTCCAACAATAACAAATAATGTAGCACACTGCTTTAGGAAAAATAAATTGTACAATGTGAGATAAGAAAATAGATTCTCAACTGCAAAGCAAAATTCCAGAAACATTTTTTAATTCCCTGTTGAATGGGGATTCTGATCCTCTAGGCAACTTTTCAAAAGCGTTGTTGCTTGACAGAGTTATATGTCAAATAACACAACAGTGAATCTTGCATAAATTATTTAGCAAATGCAACATTGCTTTAAAATGAGATTTTTTTTCCCCTATGTTCAGCGAATTGAAGGAATTCTACATGTCTGCCACGCCTCAGCGTTACTGTCCTTCGAATAACACGCTCTTCAGATTCCTCTGCCGAGCTGCATGCCTGGCACTTGCCTTGTAGAAACCAAACACCGCCAAGAAAAATCCAGGGTGTTTCTTGGTTTGTTGACCTTCACCTCCTCTATTTTGACCACAAGCTACCAGCATGGGGCGCGGGTGGCCCCAAGGAGCTGCTAGCTCCTTGCCCAGGGGAGCAGAAGAGCCAGCAAGCACCAGGGTGGTGGTGGGAATGGGTGGCCCATCCCGCAAGGAGAAACTTCATGTGCAGCCCAGCTGCTCCTGTGCTGAGCTGAGTCTCCCCGATGAGGCCAGGAGTGTTCCTCAGGAACTTGTTTTTGAGGAGTTTTGCTGCAGTATTTCACACATTTAACCTGGATTTTACTGCTGGCAAGAAGCACAGGAGCAGCCTGGCACAGCGCGGGTGGGCAGGATGGTGTGCACAGGCACAACTGCGCTGCTGAAAGCAACGGGGTCACCACAGGGGGCCAAGGCGCTGCTGGCACCGGGTGCGGGGGGGAGTTTGAGGCTGGGCCTGGCTCCGAAGGGACACATCTGTGCGCAAAGGGGCTTCTTGGTGGCCAGAACCAATGGCACCTGCTGAAGTCTCCAAAGATCAGAGGCCACCTCGCAGCATCGAGCACAGATACGTGCATTTACTGAAGCACCTAGCCTTTAAGGTGGCCTTGGATTTTAGTGACTGAAATGCAGCAGTAAGTACTTTCTATCCAGATCGCTAATAAAATAACACCAGAGCTCTTGATCTGCGAGGAATTTGTGCAGGGAGGGGGGCGCAGTGCCCCGGGCACACAGTTTCCCTCCTCTGGGGTGGCTGTGCACAGCACAAGGGGATGGCGAACACCAGCAGAAGGGAGCTGACAGCACCACGTCTTTGGATAAACGATCGCTAATTAATTCTAAAGGGAGGGGAAAAAAATGCCCCTGCATTTCACAGAAGTGTTATTAGTAATTTCTAAATGAACCTGCCATCGCTAATGATGGCTTTAACGATTTTCTTTTATGAGTGAGAAAGGATACAATTTGAGACATCAGCCTGGGAAGTATACCTCATTCTACCCAAAATGTCAGGAAACAGGGGTGGGTGCTCTTTGGTTTTCTTTTTTGTTTTCTTTTTTTTCCCCTTTTTTCCTCCCCTGTAGCACAGTGGAAGGCCTGCAGGGCTTTACACAAGAAGAATATTTTACCCTATGACCTAAACAATCTGGCCAACAGTCAAGAATATGTTATTCTAATTGCCACTAAAGTTGATGTTTAAATGACTCTTGGTTTTTCTGTAAAAGCCAGCTTACACTCTCGAAAGTTACAATTTCAAAGGGGACATAGCAAGAACTGGGAGTGTTCCTGCCTGACCTGGTGGTCCAAGGAATGTGGCAAACTTGGCAAAGCTGGAAAAGTGAATTCCCAAAGGCAAGGCTTGAAAGTTGCAGTCAGTGGAAATGCTTTCTGAGCTGTGCTCAAAACAGCTCTGTTACAGGAACAACGCACTCCTAAAGCCAAATATTTGAAAACAGACTATGTGTACCACGTTCAACTGAAGTCAAGAGCAAATTTCCACTCGCTTCAGTCAGAGCGGGATTTACGGCACCACGGCCACGCCAGGGTTGTGCTCGGAGCCGAGCGCGGCAGAGCCTGGGCCCAGGGCTGCAGTGCCAGCCCCACTCCGGTGGCAGCAGCAGACGGTGTTGTGGACTTCAGTGAGCCAGGCAGGACTGGAAACACGGGAAGGTCAGAGCCACACCAGGGTGATGTTGATACCTGCCTACAATTTCCACCCAGGGACACAGGAATGGGTAACACCGTGCAACACATGGGCCAGAGAAATCAAAAACGGAGCAAACCTCTTAGCTTGTTTTTTCAGCTGTGGAATCAAATACAGGGAGTTTAAACTTTATCTTATCAGCACAGTACAGGGCAAACAAGCCTTTCTGAGCCAGTAAATTCTCTGGGACTTTTCTTAATTTTATTTTTTTTAAGCCTGAGGACTTTTTAGAGCTGGGTTTTATTTTAAATCTAGGATTGTTCTTTGGAACATACTACTTAGTGCAGGGTCATGTCTGGCTTTAAATACCTCCAGAGGTACGGCTACAGTCTACAGCGTGCCCAAAGTTACGCTGTACAGACCGTCCCCTAAGCAGGCACATACACATGCACACACTGCCCAGGCTGCGAGGCAAGAGACAAAATGAAGAGGGGCAAAGAGGCATCTCTTCAT